TGTGCTCACCAAGTTGTGCCAAGAAATCTGGACGACACTTAGCCATCTGACTGCAAGAGATCTGTATTTGTTCCCATTCCAAATGGTTATCCAACAGAGTGTGGAAATTATCAAACAGTATCAACAATATCAGATGCAAACAAGATTCTGCTGAAGATTATCCAAAAATGACTGGAACAGTACATCACCAGAGAACTGCCAGAAGTCCAGGCTGGGGTTAGAAGGGGTCGTGGCACTAGGGATATTGTAGCTAATGTAAGATGGATCTTGGCTGAAAGCAGGAAATACCAGAGGAATCTATGTTTCATTGATTATACAAAGGTGTTTGACTGTGTAGATAACAACAAACTGTGGTTGACTCTGAGAGGAGTGGGAATTCCAGAACACTTGATAGTGCTAATGCAAAACCTATACTTGGACCAGGAGACAGTCGTCAGAACAGAGCAAGGAAACACGGCATGGTTCAAAATTGGGAAGGTTGTACGCCAGGGATGTGTCCTGTCTCCATACCTTTTCAACCTATATGCAGAACAGATTATCTGGGAGGCTGGGCTCTATGAGAAGTGTGGCATCAGGACTGGTGGAAGATTCATCAACAATCTGTGTTATGGAGATGACACAACTCTGCTTGCTGAAACTGAGGAGGATGTGAAGCGCTTGCTGCAGAAGGCCAAGAACTGCAGCTTTCAATATGGATTGATACTCAATATAGAGAAAACAAAGATTCTCACCAGTGGGCCAACTGACAGCATCAGGATGGATGGTGAAGAGCTTGAGATTGAGGGAGCTCTGGTGGCCTAGTGGCAAGAAGCTGCACTACAATCCCAGAGATATGCAGTTCGGATCCACCAGATGCTCTGCTGGAGGAGGAGCAATCTCCTGTACCAGTCAGATCCGATTTGACGGTACACATGCAAAAAATAATAAAATAAAATAAAAAAAAAGAGCTTGAGATTGTTAACAGCTTTAGTTCGCTTGGCTCCACAGTCAACACTCTTGGCACCAGCAGCCAGGAAATTAACAGATGTATTGAGACGGGAAAATCTGCTGTTAGGGACCTCTCTGAAGAGCAATGGTGTCACTCCAGAGACTAAGGTGCACCTGATACAGGCCATGGTCTTTACAATCACTTGTTATGCATCAGAGTTGGACAATGACTAGGGATGATAGAAGGAAAATTCATGTCTTTGAGCTGGGTGCTGGAGAAGAGTATTGAGTATACCATGGGCTGCTAAGAAAATAATAGTCTAATCCTATAGAGGGTTAAATCAGACTGCTCCTTGGAGGCAACGATTCTGAAGCTTTGACATACTTTGGACATGTTGCAAGGAGGGACCAGTCCTTGGAGAGGGACGTCATGCTTGGGAGAGTGGAGGGACAGCGCAGGAGAAGACTATGAGTTGGACTGATTCGGTGACTGCAGTAGTGGGGGGAGGTGTGTCGGCGAGGGTGGGATTGGCACAGGACAAAGCAGGGTTTACCGCTGTTGTACGAAGCGTCGCTAAGAGTCGCGACTGCACTCAACAACAATACATATTCAATAAAAAATCCAATAGTGACTTATGCCTTATGTGGTTTAAAAACATCCAAATATATGATCTCATTCGTTCCTCACAACTTCATAAAGTATATAGTAATACTTCCCTTTCTTTCTTGATACGGAAACTATTGCATACAAAGGTTAAACAAGGACCTGGGAACACTAAAAGAAATCTGGACCTTTGGGGGGGGGGGCAAAGTGTGAACTTGATGAGTTTCTTAAATAGAATCAAAAGGAGGATTCTATGTTTGCATAGAATGGGACTCCAAACCACACATAAATAAGTTAAATGTTGGCCAAGTGCTGAAAAAAAGCAGAAATGTTGTTCTCGTTGAAAACAGTGTCCTTACCCAGTGACGTGACCTTATATGGCCTTCACCACAAATGGGGTAAAATGGGGTAAGCACGACAGGCATTAGACAATCATTAACAAGCAGGTTTCTGACCACTGGACTTCGCAGCCAGGAACGGCATGCCCGATCCGGTAGTCACCGGCTGGGACAGTTACATAACACCCGGAATCCTGGGTTTCCTCGGGAACTGAGGTCACGTGCCGAGCCTCGTTACCTTAAAGAGCGGAGGAGACCCACGGGCGTTAGCGAATTCCCGGCACCGGATTGAGTCTGCTCCGTATTACGTACGGCGTCCGTGCGCGCGTAAAGCGAACTAGACCAGCCAGGACTCCGAGGGAGGTGTGGCCTCGCAGCCTTGAGATCCTCTGATTGGCCGGTGGGATGACGAAGGCGTGTACAGTCAGCTATAATGCAACGGGCGTATGCGTCAGTTTTGTTCGATCGGAAATAAGAGAGGGGTGTGACTAGGGGCTCAAGGCATCCGCCGATTGGCTTACAGACGCCAGAGCCGGGCGGCCGGGCACGGCCTCACTAGAGCGAATCGCCCGGGTTGTTCCTGGAGTTAGCTGCCGGCTTCAGTGAGAATACTATGGCCGCTCGGACCGCTCAGAAGGCCTTGAAGAAAGTGGTCTTAGGATGCCGTCCGAAGTCAGCGGAAGTGGCTGGAACTCTAGTTCCGGCACGGAGTTCTGCGGGGAACGTCAGGTAATAAACAACAGGGGTATCTCGATGCAGACGGTTTTCCGCCAGGCCTGCTAAGTTGGGAAAAGCGAGGGACTTTGGGGAGAAGTGAAGTTGGGTGTTGAGCGTTCCCAGCTGTCCGAAGGGGCAGGGTCTCCCGCCCGGTGTTTTCGCCCCCGCCCGCAGCACTTCCTGAGCCGCAGGCTGGCCGGCTGTGCGGGGCCGCCGCGTCTGCGTTCGTGGCTCACCGACCTCCAGGAGATGGTGAATCACTGGCGTAGCCACTTGGAAGCAGCCTTTGAAGCTCTGAGTTCTTTCGGTCTTCGCCTCAAATGCTGTTGGAAAGTTTTAACTTTGTGGGGCTTGATGGGGAAAGTGTTTCTCGTTTTCTTTCTTCTGCCTGCCGAATGATCGTTCTCAAAAGAGTTCTTTGCTTCTGGCTTTTGGTGTTTGCGAATGAAAAATATAGCCGACCTAGGAATCTTCATTCTGGACACCCCTCCCACCAGACACACTCAACTCTAATTTAGAAGTTTTGTAATCTTGAACCGAAGGTAGCCATCGATTTTCCTAGTTTGTGCCTTTTGAAGGTTCGGGGTGGGAACGGGATTCTTGCTTGCACTCCTTAGTTTTCTTTTTCTTAATGGCAGTGGTTTGGTTTCCCCCTAAAAAAAAAAAAAGAAAAAAAATTAAGTTGGCGTGTAAAAGCACATAGTCCCTCAAATTTAGATGTGAACGATAGATAGATAGATGGATGGATGAGGGGAAATAGCGCAAATCTGATTGAACCTAAAAATATTTAGATCCAGTGAAGAATTTTTAAAAGTACCAAGACCCAGCCAACTACTATTACTTGGACAACTGTTATTTAGGTAAATACTGACTAGAAATGATAGAGAATTGATGCCTTTGAGCTGTGATGCTGGAGAATAGTGTTGAGTATAACATGTACTATTAGGAGATCAAACAGGTTCGTCCTAGAGAAGGTGAAAGAAACCAGGCTGATCTTTGTAGGCAAGATTCTGAAGCTTCGTCTGACATTCTTTGGACATGTTGCAAGGAGAGACCAGTCCTTGGAGAGGGACATCATATTTGGGAGGGTAGAGGGACAGCGAAGAAGAGGAAGACCCTCGGTGAGATGGATCGATTCAGTGATGGGGTAATCGGGATGGGTGTGTCGGAGACAGTGAGGCTGGCACAGGATAGGGCAGGGTTTAGGGCTGTTGTACATAGGGTCGCTGTGAGGCCCAGGTGACTCGATGGCACATAACAACAACAAAACAAAACCATTGCATATCATTTGTCCCTGCTTAGGGATTAACCTAAAAAAAAAATAAGTTCAAGGGAGCTCTTGTGGCCTAGTGGCAAGAAGCTGCGCTGCAATCCTGAAGCCATGCAGTTCGAATCCACCAGATGTTCCACAGGAGGAGAGGCAATCTCCTGTCTCTGGCGGATTGGATTCGACAGTAAACAACAAAAACAAAAATAAGGACAAGCAGAGCTCCATCATCTTTTAGGTCTGTGTTTGTTCTAAAGCATATTGGCTTGCAGATAATCTAAGATTTTTCTTTTGAAAGAAAAAGAGTTTTCTGTTGACTAAATTTAAGCTTAAAAGTTCAGTGTAAATATTTGTAAGGCTGATGGGAAAAGTATATAAGTTGCAAATATGAATAATTAACATTTAGGCCTTCTTATAGTTTAGAACTTGAGAAAGTACTGTTGAAATACAAGTGACAAAAAGCTGGCTTCCATCTGATAACAGCATTTGCTTCATAGCTTAATTGTATGCATCTGAATATTTTAGATGAAGACGTTTTCTTGACAGTGGTTGAAAATACATCAGCTATTCAACACTTTGGGACCATTGTACAGAAACTGATACAGAAAAGGAATGGCATGCTTTAAATGCAGATATTTCCCCTAGAAATACTATATTGTATTTCAGATTGTTTTATTTGGAAATTGGATAGTTGGAGAAAAGTGAAACACTATCCATACCTCACATCATAAACAAAAAGTAAGTAAAAATGGATCAAGAATCTAGGTGTGAAACCTAAAATTCTAAAGACAATCAAAAATAGTGGTAAAATTAGGAGCCCTCTAGTTGCCTATCCCCAGCCTCATTTCTATTACCAAGTCCATATTGTCTGACTACTGATCCTTCTTCCTGGTTCCCAACTTTTTTTTCCTTTTTTTTTTTTACTGGGAAAAACATATTGGGGGTACAAGGAGGTGAGGGTTGGGGGCAGAAGGGTGAGGATGGGCCAGGATGCAGTTGAACAGCTGCACAGTTTGGTCGGTGGGGGTTGAAGGAAATGATGAGGGTCCAGTGGAGAACAGATGCTACAGAGGAATGACATGCGTTTTCCAATAGTAATTAAACCAACTGTCTTATTGATTTGGGAATTGGATGCCGACTCTCTGGCTTCTTCATGCTGAACAGGGGCGTAGATGTAAAGGGGGGAAGGGAGGACGCTTTATCACCTTACTGGTGGTCTTGGGTTACAGCTGCTTGCCTTCTTGCTCTGTTGGAAGATATTTTCCTGTCATTTGCTCCCCTCTGGACTGCAAAGTGTTTTCCCAGGTGGGCCCAGTGGGGATGGCTAGTTGAACCCAGAGGCTCCATCCTCCTTTGCTTCCTTAGCTGTCAGTTGTATTTCTTTTTTGTCACTGGCACTGGGTGCAGGGTCAATTCTGGAGTAAAACTCAGAGTTAAGGTTACCTATAGGAAAGGAAGCAAACCTAGAGAGAACAAACTTGTGAGTTACAAATAGAAGGGCTTTGAGGGTGTTGATTTCAAGTTTACTGGGGGGGAGGGTGGCAGAAGGTGGCCTAGGTAACATTCTCTGGATACCCTAGGCATTCTTTTTTTTTTTTATTCTCCTTCCCACCCAGGGGTCAGATGGCACAATCTGGGGACTGAGGAGCTCACCCTGAGGGCCGTGAGTGCAGCCCGCCCCAGGCAGGTTCCCAACTTTTGCATTCCAGTTGCCCATTATTATTAATGCATCTTGGTTACATGTTCGATCGATTTCTGATGTCAACACTTGGTAGAAATCACCTATTTCCTCCTCTTTGGCTCTGTTTGTTGGTGCATAAATTTGAATGATAGTGCTTTAACAAATCTTCCTTGTATGTGTATGGATATTATGCTATCAGTCACAATATTGTATTTCAAGATGGATCTGGAAATGGCCTTTTTAACTATGAAAGTGACCCCATTTTTTTCTCACTTTTTCATCTCCAGCGTCATTCATACAATCATCTGATTTAAAATGTCCCATTCCAGTCCATCTCATTTTGCTAATACCTAATTTGTCAATATATATGCATTCTATTCTTTCTTAACAATGTCTAATTTTCCTACATTCATGCTTCTCATATTCCTCCTCCCAATCATTATTCTTACAACTGTTCCTCCTCCTTTGTGTTTTCAAATTCGAGGGCTTAGACTCAGTTGCCGTATCTGTTAGTCTAAGTGTGCTCTACTATACATAGAATTTTCAAAGGCCTGTAATATTTCAGAAGTGCATGGCCAATCCTTCCTAGTCTGTCTTAATTTGGATGCTTAGTTTTAGAACAGTATCTGACAGACAAACGTTTTACTGAGCAGATGAAAGACACTTCCTTACAGAAATAACCAGTACATTCACTGTTTCTTCCCCCTCCCCCCAAGCATGTGTGTCTTGTCTCTTCCTTTTCCCTGCTTCATCACCATTCCTTGCACTCCCGCCTATCAGGTCAAATCTTCCCTTCCTCAGTCACCTCTAGATGTGATAGCTTAGTCCACAAGTCACTTCTGTGATGTCTTGCACCACACACTGCTACTGGTCTCTCACACTGTTGTCTGTCTTGTGTTTAGGAGGATGTAAGTCCAAATATCATGTACCAACTTCAGGGAAAGATTCTTTTTCTTGAGGCAGTACTGAGGGAGGTTCTTTGCCACTGAGCTTCTGCTAAGTTTTGTGACTTAGTGTCTCTGTTTACTCGGCTGTCACAATGTGATAATTTCCAAAGTTCAGATAGGTCTTTTCTAGATCTGATGTGGTGGTGTTTTCCACCTTTGGCCCAGTGCAGCTTGGGAGTGAATATTAAGGAAACCAATAGACTTCTTGGAGAATAGGCATTACCTGATTAAAAAGATTATAGGGCGGTCTCAGATCCTACCTTATGTGACTCTGTAGGATTCTTGACTCTGAGTTAGGACCAAAGATTAAAACCCAGACTCCAGCTGTGTTAGAATGTGGGGATAGAATGATATTCTACACAATGATTTATTCATAGAATATACATTTTATAAGAAACATATACACAAGTAATACACGTGTATTTCACCTGATGATCTGCACAGGAATCAGATTGATTACAGCTGTGGAGGATTTGTTGGAAAAGTTTAGTATCAGTTGTGAAAACTTGGTCAGGTGTTGATTATGGAACAGACCATGAACTACTCGAATGCAGGTTCATATTAAAGCTAAAGAAGGTTAAATCATACCCACAGGAATCAAAATTTCATCTTTTTTTTGGCATATGGAAATGTATTAGTATAACATTTTCATCAAAACTTTAAAATCTTAGCTTTTCATTCATTCTTGTCTTTGTATAAGACCAAAAGAGATACATTGGCCACTTTGACAACCTTAAAGCTGACTCCAGGAATGTCACCTTTGCAACCAAATCCAGCAACAAGAACTTTATTGTTTTCAAAATTTGGTCTTGAATTTATCCCCCTTAAATTTAAAAACCAACTCAGGAACAGATTTGAGGCCTTGAACACTAATAAAGACCAGATGAGCTGTCGGAAGATAGCCTAATAGTGTTCATGAAGAAAGCAAAAGGTCGTAACAAAGAAGAAAAGACCAAAATGGATGTCAGAAGAGACTCTGAAGATTGTACTAAAGCACAAAAAAGCCAAAGCAAAGAAAAAAAATCAAGAAGTTAACACGTTGCCTCAAATGACGGCAAAAAAAAAAATCTGTTTCTAAGCACGGTCATCAATTTAAGTGTTCAGCAATGTGTTAAGAAGCTAAATAGAAGATTTGTTATTGATGAATTATTCAATCCTGATGCTGCATATGTATGGAAATTAAAATAACAAGATAGAGGAAAATAATTTAACAGTTTTTAGCAGACCATCAGATTGCTACTCTGAAAGCAAGATTTAATTTCAAGTCTCTTTGTAAAGGAGACCCAGAATTAAGAGACTTTGTGCTTTAGTTACAGAATTCTCACTTTCTATATGGTAGATTTGGATTTGATTCTGAGGCTTAAATCCTTCCATATTCCTCTCTAGGAGCCACTAGTTATCACTGGAGGCTTGCACATTTCTGTGATGTAGAATAGAATTTCCAAACTAAGATGATCTAGGAAGAAAGATCTGGCACTATGCTTTTCAAAACCAACCAGTAAAATCCTATAGATCACACAAATACTGTTGACCTTGAAATTACTAAGTTTCGAGTTGACCTTGATGGCAGTCAGCACCAGTTAGTGGGGAAAATAGCTTGAGTGGGTTAAGTTGAGAAGAAAAGCAAGAGTTTATTACACTGTAACTGTAGACATTGAATAAGGATGACAGAAGAAGGAATGTGTTTGAGTTGTGGTGTTGGAGAAGAGTGTTGACTCTCACATGACTGCCAGAGGGACAAACAGGTATGTCTTGGAAAAGGTATAGCCAAGATACTCCTTGTAGATGAGAATTGTGAAGCTTCATCTCACATATTTTGGACAGTGTTAGGAGGGGCTTGTCCTTGGAAGGTGGAGGAGGGTCAGTGACGGAGAGAGGGGATGAATGGACATGGTGACTGTTATAGTAATGTGTGAGAGATGGTGAAGATGGCATAGGGTAGGGCAGAGTTCAGATCCATTGTTCATGTTGTTGTTGTTACGTGCTGTTGAGTCGTTTGCGACTCATAGCAACCCTATGTACAACAGCCCTAAACCGTGCTCTATCCTGTGCCAATCTCATTGCCTCCAACACACCCATCCCGATTACCCCAGTCACTGAATCAGTCCACCTCAGAGGGTCTTCCCCTCCTGCTCTGGCCCTCTACTCTACCCAGCATGATGTCCCTCTCTAAAGACCTGTCTCTCCTTACAACATGTCCAAAGTATGTCATATGAAGCTCCAGCATCCTTGCCTCCAAGGAGTAGCCTGGTTTAACCCTCTCTAGGATGAATCGGTTTTCTTGGCAGTCCATGGTACATTCAGTACTCTTCTCCAGCACCACAGCTCAAAGGCGTCAATTCTCCTTCTA